GCTCCCCTTGGTGTCTTGGGCCCCCACAGTTTAGCAGAGTGCTGGTGCCAGGAGGTGCCAGGAGTGAAGGGTGCGGGGGGGAGGGGCAGGGCTACGCCGCACAGCCGCCGCCTGTGTGCGGTCTCACTGTACTCCACCCGCTTCTCCTGCGTGGGAAGGCCCAAGCGTGGGTCAGTGTGGTGATCCCATGCCCAGGCCCCACCGTGGGAGGAGATGGGGGCTGGAGACAGGAATGATCTGGGGGTGCTGGTGGGGGCGTCTTTCTACACTCCAGTGCCCAAGCCTCGAGGACACCTGGGAAGAAGAGCCAGGGTGGGGGGGTACAGGGTGGGGGAGGGAGCAGAGGCCCCTGGGGGGCCGCTCAAGGGCCTGGGGCTGGGGGTGGAGAGGGGTCAGGGCCCCCCAGGAGTACCTGCAGGGTGTACAGGTGGCTTAAGGAATACAGAGTAAAGCCAGGCTCAGGCCTGTCATCCTAGCTGCTCAGGAGGCTGAGATCTGAGGATCCCCGTTCAAAGCCAGCCCATGCAGGAAAGTCCCTGAGACTCTGATTTCCAATGAACCACCAAAAGAAGCCAGAAGTAGTGCTGTGGCTCAAGTGGTAGAGCGCTAGGCTTGAATGAAAAAGCTCAGGGACATTGCTCAGGTTCTGAGTTCCAAGTCTCAGTACCAGCACACACACACACAGAATCCAGTTTCGGGGGCAGGCTTGGTTGTGCACGCCTGCAGTCCCTTCCTTGGGAGGTGGAGGCAGACGGTCACAAGTCCAAGGCCAGGCTGGGAGCCCAGATGGAGCCCACGGCTGTGAAGCGGCGTCTCCTCCAGTCTCCCTGGAATTCAGTCAGGCATTCCCGGGCTCGGCTCCAGGAGGCTCCAGGAAATTGGGTCTCCTGGCCGTTCCCCATTTCTGGGGCCCACCTGCATTCTTTGGCTGGCTCCCCGTCCCCTGAGGCCTTGGTCCCATGGGGTGATCCAGGTCATCTAAGACCCTTCCACACAGGTGGACAGTCCCTGTGCCATTTAAAGGGACAGTCACGTGGTCAGAGGTCTGAGGACATCCTTCTGTCTGCCACACTGGGGTAGGGATTTAGACTAACCTGTGAATGTCTGCTGTGAAGCCCCCTTCCTTTCAGCCCTCAGTCTCTATCCAATGACCCAGATAGGCCGTTCCCATGGTGTATGGTGTCCTGGGAGAAGTGCGAGGGGGGTCATTGGCCCACTTTCCAGATGAGGAAACCGAGGCTCAGAGAGAAACTGGAAGTTCACCTCAGTTCCCATCGATGGGAAATGGTAGAGCTGGGATCTGTGAGCCAAGGAGGCCTGGGCCGAGCTATAGACCTGATGTAAGATCCCACCCTGTTGGTGCTGCCTGTAATCCCCGCTACTCAGGAGATAGGGGTCGGAGGAGGCAGGTGTGGCTTAAGTCATAGAGTGCTTGCTTGGTGAGCATGGGGCCCTGAGTTCAAATCCCATGCTGACCTTCCAGTCCACCTCTTAGCTTCCTGTGAGTCCTCTCGTTTCCCTCTGTTTTGTCCATTCATCTTCAACATCTCCCCCACCCCTTTCCCCCATGTTCTGACTGTTCCAGAATTCTTGGCACCTGCAGACTGGGCTGCCTGAGTCCTTTGGAGGTCGCCAGCCTCAGTTTCCCCACAGGCTGGCTCCTGATGGGCTTCCGCCTCACCTCTGAAGCAGCTGTCCACCTTGGGCCCTGTCCTGTCCTCCTCCTCCTCCTCCTCCTCCTCCCCCTCCTCCTCCTCCCCCTCCTCCTCCTCCTCCTCCTCCTCCTCCTCCTCCTCCTCCTCGCTTCTCCTTAGTGCTCTGCCGGCAACAAGCAGGTCAGAACCTCAGGGTGCGCTTCGCCGGGAGCCCAGGTCGCCGTGGCTTCCGTAGGGGTGGCAAGAAGTTCATGATGACGGATGTCCACACGTGGCGTGGGGTCAGCCCTCACCACATCCTACTTTAGACCTTGAGCCACAGGATCTTGGGAGGGGCTCCAGAGCCCCCCTCTGCTCTTCCAGGGATTTCAGGGGGAAAATGCCTTTTTCTTGGCCAATGTGAGAGGATTCTAGAAGCTTCCCTGCCTTCGTGGAGGTCAGTGTGAGAGCAGGGGTCCCCATACCCGGGGTAAAAAAGGGGGGTCCCCCAGAGAGGCCAAGAAGCTGACCAGAGGCTGGTGGGGTCCAGTCACCTCTCCCCAGACTGTCCTGGGTCCATTGCATTTCCTGGGTCTTGGGTCATCATCTGGAACATTCCTTGTCATGGAAAACCTTGGTCTCTAGAGCAACAGGTAGTCACTGTCCTTGAACTCTGATCTTCCTGCCAATGCTGAGATTCCAGGCGGGCACTACCACCCCTGGCTCCTGTGAAACTTTGATCCTGTCAACCTGTTAGACTCTGCTCCTCTTATCCTGTCTCTGTCACCTGTGGCCCGGGGGACACTTTCCTGCCCTGTGCCGGCTCACACTGGCTCCAGAGCCGGAGATGGGCGTTGGCAGAACCAGAGGTGCCTTCGCCGGCCCAGGACGCCCACAGCGCTGCAGAAATGAACCCCACTTTGAGGTTGGGGAAGTTGGCATTTCCTTCCTGTCTGATTCTACCTTGTTCCCACACCCCTGCGCTCCCTGCTGCACAACCCTGCCCCCTCCCCTCCCCGCCCCCCTCCAGCTTGCCAGGAAGGGCAGGAAGGGTTCCAGAGGAGCCTCGCCACTCCCTCAGCCAGGCAGTGAGCTTTGCGGCTCACACGGTGCCCACGAGGCCGCTCTTCCACCTGAGCCAGGCCCCGGCCCTTTGGCTTGTGATTTCCTCTTGGGACTCACCTCAGCCCACTCCCCCCACACCTACCCCTGCCATACAGCTGGGATTACAGGTGTGTACCACCACACCTGGTTTAGACTGTCCAGGCATCTCCTCCATCCCAGCAAACCAGGACCTTGGTCCCCAATTCACAATACCCAGTAGCAGGCAGCCCAGAGCTGCCGGCCACCATTCTCCCTGCTCGTTGGACCCCAAACCCCGGCTAGATGAACCTTGAAAGTATCTCACTGGCTGGACACAGCAGTTCACACCTGTAATCCTAGCTACTCAGGGCTGAGATCTGAGGATCATGATTCAAAGCCAGCCTAAGCAGAAAAGTCCCTGGAACTCTTACCTCCAATTAACCAGGAAAAAGCCAGAAGTGGAGCTGTACAGAGCTCAAGTGGTAGAGTTCCAGCTTTGAGGGGAAACGTTCAGGGACAGCACGCAGGTCTTGAGTTCAAGCCCCAGGACCAGCACACGCACCTCCCAGATTGGGAGGTGCTACTGTGTAGCAGGGTTTGGGGTGCAGTGAAGGGTCACATGGCATTTGTCATCTAGGCTGTGCCCAGCGGGTCACCAGGGCTCGGAATGGACAAAATGCTGGATTTTCCTTGTCCCTGGCTAGGGTGACACTGGCTGTGTCACTTCGGGGCTTGGGTGCAGCATGGAAATGAGAGACGTTGGCTCACGAGGCGTGGGGAATTTGGGGGCTCGGTGGGGCTGATGGCTGCTTGGGGTACACACTGAAACCAGCCCAGGCCCCGTCCTGCAGGGTGGGAAGGCCTCACCCTACAAGTCTCTGCAGTGATAGGTAAAAAGAGACCTGCAGCCGGGCGTGTCTGTGGAGGGGTTGGCGCCGGGCTGCAGGCGGGCACACAGGCGGGTACACGGGCTTCGGCTCGGTCTTTGAGGTGGACAATCAAGGGCCACTCGCAGGCCACAGGGACAAAGTCGAACAACTGGCGAAGGGGGAAGGAGACCCCTCTGTGTCTTTTCGTTTCCCCAGAGCGCTCCCCGTTACTATGGCAACCCAGACCCCACAAGGGCCGCCGGTCCTGAGCGGTCTGCTGACTGCTCAACCGTCCAGGCCACAGCTGGGTTTTTCCATGACAGAAATGTGGCCTTGCTGTTGGGTTGCATTTGGAAATGGGGGTTTCCTCTGGTTTCTCCTTTTATTGCAGAAAAGGGGGGCAAATGGAGGCAGGACCTCCACCGTTGGGCAGTCCTGAACACACCTTCTGGGGTGACATGGGGGTACGGTTAGACACAAAAGCCAAGGAAGTATTTCTTTCATTGTAATGGATTTAAGCGAAGCGCAGTGACGCCCGCCGCTCGCGGCTCTGTCGGAACTGACGAGCCAGGGGACCGGCCGGCCACCCACCTGGGTCTCCATGCGCCCTGCCATCGGACTGTCCCCCGAAGCCTCACACTTCCTGGAGGCTTTTAGAAGCTTCTAGAATCCACCTCCCACCTATCTTGCTGCATTTCTTGACTGTTTTAACCTGTGTCCTGGGTCCTGCTGGGAGTGTTTTTCCTCAGTTCCTCCAGTGGGGTCCCAGAGGCGCCCCTAGCAGCCCCTGCCTCTGAAACAGCTGAGCATGGCGGGGGAGGGGGGAAGGAGGGGGAGGGGCACCGTCCAGGCCCCGCAGTGAGGCCGGCTGGACAAACAGACTCACAAAGCCACCACTGTCCCTGCCGCTGCCCAGGCCGCGCCAGCGCCTGGCGTAACCCGAGCCGCCCTGGCCAGCCCTTCCTGCCCCTCCCCAGACATCGCGCCTGGCAGGCTTTGTGCCAAGGGGACACAACTCAGAGGCCCCTTCTAGACTTTTCTTCCACTCGCAGGAGTCATCGGCCTCCTAACCTCCCCTCAGCTCGCCCACTCCCATGTCCCTCCCCGCCATGCTGTCATCCAGATTGGGGGTGTGTGTGCATCTTGGCGTTGCCCTGACCTTGGTGATCATTTGTGGGTGTCTGCGCATTCCCGAGGCAGGAGAACATGGCGGCTTTGGGCCAATGCCCATGTGGGGGAGGCTGAGGCCCCGGGGGGGGTTTCTGTGGGATTCCTGGGCACGAGATTTCATGGTGGTCCGCTCTTGGGGACCCCGGTGATGGCTGGGCTTAGTCACCTTCTCCCATCTCGTTCGTCAGGTAGAAAAGACTGGAGACACGGCTTTCTTACCCAGCTCCTTGTGTTTCTGCTTTAGGTAAAATGTCGGTTCCTGGACCTTACCAGGCGGCAGCGGTGGGCCCATCCATGCCCACCGCACCCCCATCCTATGAAGAGACCGTGAACAGTTACTACCCAACAGCCCCAGCACCCATGCCGGGGCCTGCCACGGGGCTGATGGCAGGCCCAGATGGGAAAGGTGTGACCCCACCTTCGTATTACACCCAGCCCGGGCCTGCGCCCAACCCCAACGCAAGTATGTGCGACCCTCTCCCCCTTAGTCCTTAGCTCCTTTGCCCTCTGCCCCTGGCTTGTGGACTCTGGCAGTCAAGTGACTTGCTTAGGCAAGACTGGCATGGTAGCACACACCTGTAATCCCAGGCCAGATTAGACTAAAGTGTGATATTCTGGCTGAAAAGTAACTAAAGCACCAAGTCTGAGGTGGTGGTTCAGGTGGTAGAGTGCCTGCCTGGCAGGCAGGAGGCCCTGGGGGAGTGGAATTGCTTCAGGCCTGCGTGGGGCAGGCCGCCCTCTTGTTCTGGCAATTGCTTCTTGGTCCTTGCTCACTGGTCCTTCCTGACACCCAGGTGTGCCCAGGTGTGCACTGACTCAGTGTCACAAGCACTTAGAAGGAGCTCTCCAGTTGTGTGAGATGCTAATCAGAGCATGTGGCCTACTTGTCTGACTTGTACCTCAGTTTCCTCACCTGTTAATAGGACACAGTGTTCAATGTGGTGATACATACCTGTAGTTCCAGCAACTTGAAAGGTAGAAGCAGGAAGATCATGGTTTAAGGCTGGCTGGGACAAAAGTGTGTGAGACCTTATCTGAAAAACAAGTTTAAGCGAAAAGGACTAGAGGTGTGGCTCAACTGGTAGAGCACCTACCTAGCAGGCATGAGACTCTTGAATTTACTTCTCCAGTGTCAGGGGAAAAGAAATCAACAGCCAATGGCTGGCCACTGGTGGCTCACGCCTGTCATGCTAGCTACTCAGGAGGCTGAGATCTGAGGATGGCAGTTCAAAGCCAACCAGAGCAGAAAAGTCCCTGTGAAATCCTTATCTCCAATTAACCATCAAAAAGCCAGAAGTGAAGCTGTGGCAGAGGGCTAGCCTTGAGTGAAAAAGCTCAGAGACAGCGCTCAGGCTGCACAGGAAATAGGATCAGTGCAGTAGTGAGCTGCGTCATTTCCGGGGTGAAGGCTGGTGTGGAGCGGCTTGGTCTCCAGGCCGCAAACCCAAGGACACGGGGACGGGGTCCCTGCATGTGGCAGCTGCCCTCGCCCTGGGCTTCCCAGTGTCTTACCTGCCTTCACCAGCCCTCCCCCTGATCTTGGGGTGCTGGGCCCCCCTAGGGCTGTGTGAAGAGCGCTGTGGGCAGATCCAGTCCCCATTTCTAGCACAAGCCAAACCTGCCTCCTGCCCTGCCCGCCCTTCTCACCCTGGCTTTCTAGTTCACTCCTCTGAAACCTCCAGTTCAGGGCTTGCAGCATCCGCTCAGAGTTGGGCGGCAATCTGTGGTAATTCTAGAATATTCCCACCGCCCCCCAGAGAAGCCCCCTCAACCCTCCAAGTCCTGCCCCCGCCCACCAGCCACGCACCTCTGCCTTCAGCACAGCAGCAGCGGGGCCCACTGGGGACTCACAAGAAGGGGCTGGCTGAGGGGGACCCCCGGCGGCCTGAGACGGGGGCGGGGGGGGGGGGACCCAGGTCACCCAGCACCAGCGCCAGTGCCTGCTGCCAAGATTTCCCCATAGGAAGGTTCCAGAACCTGTTAGCAAAAATTCTGGAAATCGGCCACTGTTCTTTTCCTCCTCCCTTTTTGTAATTTCTCCCCTCCCCTCCCCTCCCCTCCCCTACCCTACCCTACCCTACCCTTCCCTCTCTCCTTTTCTCTCTCTCTGTGTTAAAATATACACAGCATAAAATCAATTTAAACCTTTTCTTTTGCAGTACTAGAGTTTGAACTCAGGGCCTTGTGCTTGCTAGGCAGGCTGTGCTGAAGGCAGAGGTGAGTGGCTGGTGGGCGGGGGCAAGACTTGGAGGGTTGAGGGGGCTTCTCTGGGGGACAGTGGGAATATTCTAGAATTACCACAGATTGCCGCCCAACTCTGAGCGGATGCTGCAAGCCCTCAACTGGAGGTTTCAGAGGAGTGAACTAGAAAGCCAGAGTGCGAAGGGCGGGCAGGGCAGGAGGCAGGTTTGGCTCGTGGCAAGGCTGTGCTAGAAATGGGGACTGGACCCACCCACAGCGCTCTTCACACAGTCCTGGGGGGGGGCAGCACCTCAAAGAGCCTCCAGAACTTTTGATTTTAGCTTATTTTTGAGGTACAGCTTCATTCTCTTGCCCTCAGAGCCTCACACTAAGATCCTCTGCCTCCCAGATCGCTGGGGTTACAGCTGTGTGCCACCACACCTGGCTCCATTTTAAACATTTTAAGATACAGCTCAGTGGCCTGTTACACCGTCCTGCTCCAGAACTGTCCTCTGGGAAGCCGCCATTCTGTCCCTCTTCCCCTCCCCTGCAGACCCCGAGCCCTGACATGCCACTGCCAATCTCTGCTTGCTTTCCTGGGGACTTCGCAGAGGCTGAATCATATCCTCAATTCTTACCCTTTGGTGGCCAGCCCGTGCCACTTGGCACAAGTCCTCAAGGCCTATCTAGGTTGTAGAATGTGTCTGCATAACCTTTCTTTCTTTTTGGCTTGAACTCTGGGCCTGGGCACTGTCCAGCTGAAGGCGAGTGCTCTACCATCTGAGCCACAGAGCCACTTCCATGCCCACACTTCCATCCACACTGCGGATGGACCACTTTCCATTTGCCCCTTCATCTGTGTGCAGACATGGGGGTAGGGGGTGGAAGAGGGGGGCTCAGGTGCCTGTTGGAGCCCCTTCTCTCTCCCTTCTGGGGCACTGCTCTCTCCCTGCCCCCCTCCCTCCACTCGCTAGCTGTCCCCGCTCCAGAGCCTGTGCTTTTTGTTACCAGTTGCAGTGCAGACCGTGTACGTGCAGCAGCCCATCTCCTTCTTCGACCGCCCCATCCAGATGTGCTGCCCCTCCTGCAACAAGATGATCGTCACCAAGCTGTCCTACAACGCCGGCGCCCTCACCTGGCTGTCCTGCGGGAGCCTCTTCCTGCTGGGGTGAGTCCACCCCCCTCTACCCCAGGCCCACACGCAGCCAGGGCCCCTTCTGGGCATCATGGGATGACCTTTCCTTGCTTTTCACTTAACTATCATTTATCCATCTATCATCTGTCTATCATCTATCCATCTCTCATCTATCAATCTATCATCTATCTGTCTATCTGTCTATCAATCTATCTATCTATCTATCTATCTATCTATCTATCTTTGTGTACTAGCTGGAGCTCAGGGCCTAGGCAAGCTAGGCAGGCTCTGACCATGCTCACTGCATCCCAAACCTTCACTTTGGGGTCTTTCGTCTTCCCTCCCATGCTCCCTCCTTCCTTCCCTTTCTCCCTCCCTTCCTTTCATTCTTGTGTGTGTACTTGTCCTGGGGCTTGAACGCAGGGCCTAATGATCTACCCCTTGAACCACAACTCCTCTTCTGGCTTTTTGGTGGCTCATTGGAGATGAGAGTTTCAAGGACTTTTCCTCGGGCTGACTTTAAGCCCTGATCCTCAGATCTCAGCCTCCTGAGTCATTAGGATGACAGGTGTGAGCCATCAGCAACCGGCTGATATATACTTGGGGATTTTGTGGGAGCAGTGTGGTTGGTTTCCACCCACAAGATGCCCATAGCACCCCACAAATTACCCCAGGCCTGCTGTGTTCCCCTGTGGAGAACCACATAGCTCAGACACTGGGGCATCTAGAAACCCTTTTCCATGAATGGGCACACAGAGCCACTCAGACGAGGCGGGTGGGAGGCAGCTCAGGGGCTTCCTTTTCTTCTAGAATTTCATACCTAAGTTATCATGGCTGCCTGCGAGAAGCTGTGGACATTCTGCGCATTGGCGCCTCCACAGAGCCTTTCAGAACTGTTTCCTCTTTGCTGTGTGAGGCAGTGGAGGTGGGCTGTAAATATTTATGTCTGCGCAGGTGTTCTCTCAAAGAGAGGCTCGTTCCCCTCTGGGAGAGAAATCAGAGGGACCACAAGTTTTCCCCAGGCAGATGGATGGAAGGAAGGAGCTGGGCATGCTGGCTCACACCTATAATCCTAGCAACTCAGGAGGCTGAGATCTGAGGATTGGAGTTCAAAGACATCCCAGATAGGAAAGAAAGTCCATAAGACTCTTGACCTGAAGTAACTATCAGACAGCAGTGAACAAAAACGTATGAAGCCATGTGTTCAAGCACCAGCATCATGCCTATGTATACATACACACAGAAGTTTATCACCTTTGGATCTTTGTATTAAAATTGACTTTCATCTTTTAAACCAAGGAGAGACAGTAGAAGGAAAGTTCTGGGTCCCTCTGCTGAGGAAGCATTTGAAACCCAAGTATCCTTTCTGGCTCACCCTGCTTCTCAATGGCAGAGGGCAGCCAGGTATCCACACACTCACTGTGTGGCTGCGGGCAGGTGACTTCACCTCTCTGTGCAGCCCCGGGGGCTGCTGGGAATGGAGTCAGCAGTCTGTGCGGGCATGGGTGCTCTCAGAACCCTAATACTAGCAGAGACACGGCCCACCTCCAAACCTAGGCTCTGCAGGCGCACAGGGTTGGCTGACGCACCCATGTCTTTGTTCCCACAGGTGCGTGGCGGGCTGCTGCTTCATCCCCTTCTGTGTGGACGCCCTGCAGGATGTGGACCACCACTGCCCCAACTGCAAAGCCCTGCTGGGCTCCTACAAGCGCTTGTAGGCCCAGGCCAGGCTCCTGTCCCCGCCCAGCGGGGAGGCCCTGTGTCTTCCCTCTGCAGGGGCTCCACCTCTTTGTCTTTTTTGGGGGGCAGTGGAGTTGCAAAACCAACAACCTCCAAACCCCAGAAATGGCTGCTAGAAGTCATACCTGGGACTTGCAGAGACCATGACCTTGACAGCAGGTTCAAGTTCACCACCGCCCCTGGAGATTCCCTCCTAAGATGGCCGCCTTATTTACATACCCACATTTGCATATCCTCATCTGCATGTCTTTATCTGCATACCCTCCAGGACCTGCTGTCTGCTGGCTTCTCCTGCCTCAGTGGGCCTTTCTGGTGTTGTCTTTGACACAGTGGCCATTGCCTTATTTCTTAGGCTGTTCTGTCTGAGTATGGCCGCACCACCACAGAATCTGGCCTTACTGAGTTTTGGGGCTGGGCTCTCAGAATGAGTAACTGCAGACTTTAGTGATCTAACTCATTTGAATTTCTTATTTTTTTTAATGTATGGAAAGGGATATACACCAGGTGTGCACCACCGAGGCCATAAAGGCAAAAGGCAAAAGGAGCGAAAGAAAGCTTCATTTTGTCATAATTCTTCTGATGTTCTTGTTTGCCAAGACCCGAAGGGATTTTGGACTCCAAGATCTCCACCACTCTGACCAAGATTTGGTTTTGGAAGCTTGCAACCACCTGACAGGCTCCTATCCCCATATCTGCTAGTTCACATTCTCTCTCTCTCTTTCTCTCCCCCCTCCCCTCCCCTCTCTCGCGTGAGACTGGGTCTCACTATGTTTCTAGGCTGGGCCTGGAACTCTTGAGTTGAAGCAATCCTCATGAATAGCCAGATAGCAGCACTATAGGCATCTGCTACTTACCTGGTTGTTGTTGTTGTTTTTCTTTTCTTTTTCTTCTTTGACACAGAAAAAGAAATGAGTAGTGGCCTTTCTATGAGTGTTCTTGAAAACTTCTTAGCTGAGTACTGGTAGCTCATGCCAACATTCCTAGCTATTCTGGAAGTGAGATAAGATTGTGGTTCGAAGCCAGCTCAGGCAGGAAAGTCCATCAGACTCTTCTCTCCAACTAACCACCAAAAGAGATGGAAGTACAGCGGTGGTTCAAGCGCTAGACCTCTAGCCTTGTGCAAACAAGCTCAAGGACAGTGAGTGCCCAGGCCTTGAGTTCAGGCCCCAGGACCAGCGTGCGCATACACACACACACACACACACACACACACACACACACACACACACACACACACACACACACACACACACACACCTCTCTTCTGTGCACGGATCCGTTTGGGTGGGACTGTGAGGTCCTCTCATTTTGGGTCATCTGACGTCTTCCCTGGTTTGGCCACAGTCCCAAAGGACACTCAAGTCCACTATGATTCCCCAGAGGCGCAGCTGTGGGGTGACAGCGGAGGACCCCCAGGTCCCTGATTTCCAGAACCCCAGTGGAGGCCGAGTACGCTGCGGCCGTCTGTGCACTGTAGCTGCAGCCAGGTTCCATGGAAGCCTCAGACCTTGAACTCCAGCCGTGCCGTCGGCGGCTGTCGGTTGAGATGGCCCCTGTGTTAGGAACATGCCCGTGGGATTTCTGAATTCTGGACACCATGTAGTACTTTGGTGTGATCTGCTTTCCAAAAATAAAGACCTTGGTTCATTCGGTGACCTGTGTGTCGGCTCTTGGGTTGGGGAGAAAGCCGTCCCGTTGTGTTTGCTATGAAGTGTGTTTACTATGAAGTGTGTGTATGTGTGTGGTTTTTGTCTGTCTGTGGATTTGAACTCAGAGCCTCACCCTTGCCAGGCAGGCACTCTTGATTGACTTCCAGACCAGACGCAGCCGCAGCCGCAGCTGCGCATCTTCTCCACGGTGCCAGGCCTCCAGGCTGAGGAGCGAAGGTCGGGGTCTTGCGGGATGAGCCGCGTGGGAAAGCCTTGGTGCTCAGCACTGACACAGGGCCTGAGGTAAGAGCTTCTGGGTCTGGGTGGCAGCTTGCGTAGCGCACAAATGCCGACTGAAGGGCTCGCCGATGCCAGCCGCGGATGGCGATAGTCCAGGTCCATTTTGCCAGGTGCTGTGGCTCTGCCTGTCATTCTAGTTACTCAGGAGCCAGGTGTGAGGATCACAGTTGGAAGCCAGCCCTGGCCGGAAAGTCCTTAAGACTCTTACCACCATGTGCACAACCAGAAGCAGGAAGTGGAGCTGTGGCTCAAGTGGTAAAGTGCCAACTTGAGGAAAACAAAAAGAAAACAGCTCCCAGGCTGTGGGTTCCAGGCCCGGTACTGGCGCGGCACATAGAAAGGAAAACTTCCACTGTCTCTCCCTCTCTTGCTTTGTCCTCTGGATTTGTCTGTCTGGACGCTGCAGGTGAACAGGCTCAGCAGTTCGGGGGAGGGGGGCAGAGGGGGAAGGTGGTCCACGCTATCTGGGGTGTCTCTGGAGCATTTTCACGTCTATGGCTGGATTGCGATTCATCTAGCAGGTGCCCAAAACAAATTCAACTCACATTTCTTTGTATAATAATGGTCAGCAGCTTTCTTTTGTTGTTGTTAGTTGTCGGGCTTGAACTCAGGGCCTGGGCGCTGTCCCTGAGCTTTTGTGCTCAAGGTAAGCGCTCTACCACATTGAGCCACAGTGCCACTTCCGGTCTTCTGGTGGTTCATTAGGGAAAAGAGTCTCCCAGACTTTCCTGCCTGGGGCTTTAACCTGTGATCTTAAAATCTCAGCCTCCTGAGTAGCTTAGATTACAGGCGTGAGTCACAAGTATTGGTATGAGCAAATCTTTTTTTGACACTGTCACCCCTTCCTTCGCTCTCCTAGTTTTCCCCTCCATGTTTCTTTTCTTTTTTGTCGGTTGTGGGGCCTGAGCTCTGGGTCTGGGCGCTGTCCTTGAACTCTTCAGCTCAAGGCAAGCACTCTGCCACTTGAGCCATAGTGCCGCTTCCAGCTTTTGCTGTTTATGTGGTGCTGAGGAATTGAACCCAGGGCCTCGTGCATTCGAGGCAGGCGCTCTACCACTGAGCCACCTTCCCAGCCCCCACGTTTCTTCTTTTTAAATATAGTTAGAGGTGCTGCTGGAGTTTGAACTCGGGGCCTTGGAGTTGCCAGGCAGGTGCCTGCCACTGAATCACGCCCTCGGCCCGTTTTCTTTTTTAGGGTTACTGAAGGTGAAGGGACTGGGGTTCTGGAAGGAGCGGGGGGTCTAACATGCTCTCAGGCCCGAGTCTCGGGGTGTGCCGGGCGCAGCTGTGGGTGCGGTGGGGCTTCAGTGCGCACAGCTGAGGATGATTTGGGAGCGGGGTGGTGCCAATAAAGCCCAGGCGGGGTTCGCGGGGCTGGCCCCTCGCAGCAGCAGGACGCGGCACCCGGAGGTGCGGGGCCCTGGGGAACGTGGTGGATGGGGCGCTGTCTTGGCCCTGGCCAACACAGTCCCAGTGAGGTCTCAGCACCCCAGTTTCTCGGCCGGGCCCCGCAGAGCTCCTGCCAGCAGCAGGAAGGTGAGTCTGACCTTGGACTGCGCCGTGTGGGAGCAGGGAACGAGGAAGGGTAAATTAGGTTTGTGGGTGCCAGGTGGGGAATAACCCATCCCCCGACTTCCCTGCGGGCAGAGCAGGGGTGAACACCAGCTACTCAGACGTGTCCTGATTCTCTCAGGCAAGTGTCCCCTTTCCCACTTAGCAGATGAGGAAACAGGAGTTCTAGGGGGCCCCTCTGCCCTTCATCCCTTTTTCCTGCTGTGTAGTATTCCATAGCATAGCTGAGCCCCAGCATGGATACTCGGGCGTTTCTCAGTTCCGAGCCATCACAGCGTGGCTGTGGACGGTGGCGGGGGCTGGAGGGGAGGGGAAGGGCTGAGATTTAAACTCTGTGTCTCTGCCATTCCTCCCCAGCCACAGCCCCATGGGAGAAGCACCTTTGAATGCGCATGTCTTTCATCCCTAAGATGGAGCCTCTTGGGGTGAATGAAATGAGAGTCTGTTAGAGTCCTTATTGAACAGTGCAAAAAATAGCTTGTATGGCCTCAGTTTCCCTCTGTTCTCCACCTGGACATAATGTAGAGCCTCCTTATCCTTTTAGGTTGAGTGAGCCCAGAAAGGGCAAGAGACACACAACTAATGTCACGTACAGTCAGCAAGGAAATGAGCCCTCACCACCCTGCCCTTCCCCTCAGGCCCCCTAAGCCTCACTGGACCCCCAGTCTCCTTCTTGAACCCTTTCCTGGCCAGGCCTTTGACTCTTTTTGCTGGTCTTGGGGCTTGAACTCAGGGCCCGGGCACTGTCCCTGAGCTCTTTTGCTCGAGGTGAGCACTCTACCACTTGAGCCACAGCACCACCTTTGGTTTTCTGGTGGTTCATTGTAGATAAGAGTCTCACAGACTTTCCTGTCTGAGCTGGCTTTGAACTTTGATCCTCAGATCTCAGCCTCCTGAGTAGCCAGGATGACAGGCGTGAGTCCCTGGCGCCTGGCAGGGCCTTATTTTTTAGAAGCTTCTCCAGTGTGGAAGGCTCCGAACTCTGGTTCTGGGAAAGGTAAAACCAAGTAGACAGAAAGACGGGGCTGCCTCGCCAGGCCGGGGTTGAGGATCGGCTTTGCGCAGACCCCGGGGCGGGGTGGGGTGAGTTCCAGGTTCATTGGCTTTAACCACCCACCGCCTGTTGCGGTGATGAGACACGCCTGTGCTGTCCGTATTTTCACTCTGCTACTGGCGCACATGCGCACATGCAAATACCAAAAAGAAGCAGGTGAGATAGATTTAAATTGTTTTTCTTTTGCCAGTCCTGGGGCTTGAACTCCCAGCCTGGGCACTGTCCCTGAGCTACTTTTGCTCAAGGTTAGTTATTGGGGTGGCGGGGTGAGGGCGCTCACTGGCATGTTGAGGACCCCAAACACCACCCCCCAGATGCTCTACCACTCGAGCCCCAGCTCTACTTCTGGTTCTCTGGTGGGTAACTGAAGATAAGTCGCTCACAGACTTTCCTGCCTGGGCTGGCTTTGAATCATGATCCTCAGATCTCAGCTCCTGAGAAGCTAGGGTGACAGGCATGCTAACACCCAACTTCAAAACTGTCTTAGCCTTGATTTGCATCCTGAGCACATTTGATATCTGAGGCTTGGGGCAGAGCAAATGTGGACAGTAGATTTGCCTTGTAAATTCTTGGTATGTCTGTTGGTCTGTCAGTTTATCGGGATTTGGGCAGGTGTCGGCTACATTCACGGCTGCTCGAGGGTTGGAATGAGCAAGCGGAGCGGCAGCTTTTCACGCGGGTGGAGTGAAATGGAATGAAGCTTTTGTGGCGCAGTGGCAGGATTGCAGGTGTGGTGGCCGCGGTGGCCGCATGGCAGGGGGGTGGGGGTGGCGGCCTGTCCCAGGAGGTGGTCGGGGCTGAATAACTGCCTGGACGGGGTTGGGGTGAACACCGGGTGGCGGTGGGACACCTGGGTCCACGCTGTTAGAAGGCATGGCCCTTCTGGAAGGTTCCTGGGAGCTGGGCTTGCGGGCACATGGTCAGGTGGCCACTGGGTTCGAGTCCCCATGAGCAGCTGGTGGCTGAAATATGTTGTGTTTGCTGCCATTTCACAGTGGGGCAGCCATTGGGGTGGTGGGTGGGGGCTCGCTGGCATGGTGGGGACCCTGGATACAAATAGGTGGTGGAAGGACTTAGGCCAGGCCTGAGCAGGTGGAGAGAGGGTGGGCGTGGCTCAAGGACGAGGGTGAGAGGTCCCTGGCACGGGGTCCTTGCCCTTGGAGGTGGGGGGCACTGAGCTCTGTGGGTCGCTGTGTGGTCACTGCGTGTCCTCGACAGCGTCGATGGCAGGGGTGGGGCGCGGCGGGGCGCGGGCTCGCCTGGCAGCGCTGTCTTGGTGGACCCACTTGCATGTACATGCCCAGCTTCCCTTCTGTCTGTCCATCCACCCTCCCATCCACCCATCTCTGTGTCCATCTATCCCTCTGTCCACCTATCTGCTAATCCATTTGTCCATCCATCTGTCCATCCTACCATCTGTCCATCCTCCTGCTCATCCTCCATCTGTCCTCCACATACCTGTCCACTTGTCCCTCCTCCCATGCATCTGTCCTTCATCCATCTGTTTTTGTCTGTCCATCCTTCTATCCATTGGTCCATCCATCCCTCTGTATGTCTACCCCTGTCTATCCATCCTCCCATCAACCCTTCCCCCCACCCACTCCTGTTTGGCAGTGAAGTGCATAAGCTGTGGCCCGTGCTGCTGGTACCCACGTCCACCCTAGGTCGGGGACTCAGTGTTTGATCTGTAACCCAGGAGAGAGACTTGGGGCAGAGGAGCAGATGGATCACAGAAGCTTCTAGATACCTTGGAGTGCACTGTGGAGAAAGAACTGGTTAGCAAGGGCATTTTCTTTTCTGTTTTTCCCCTTTCTTTTCTTTCTTTTTTCAGTCCTGGAGCTTGAACTCAGGGCCAGGGCACTGTCCCTGAGCTTCCTTTGCTCAAGGAGCCACAGCTCCACTTCAGGCTTTTTTGGTTTATGTGGTACTGAGGAATCGAACCCAGGGCTTCATGCAGCTAGGCAAGCAAGAGCATTTTCTTTTTTTTTTTTTTTGGGGGGGGGGGTCTGGTCATGGGGCTTAAACTCTGGGCCTGGGCGCTGTCCCTCAGCTCTTCAGCTCAAGGCTAGCGCTCTACCACTTGAGCCACAGCACCACTTCCAGCTTTTTTCTTTTTGCTTATGTGGTGCTGAGGAATCGAACCCAGGGCCTCAGGCATACAAGACAAGCACTCTACCACTGAGCCACCTTCCCAGCCCCAGCAAGGGCATTTTCTAAGGACAAGGATCTGATTCCACTTTCCAGGCCGGGCCTAATGACTATCTCCTTATCCTCAGATGGGACCAAGGTGGCGGGGACCCAGTCTTCTCCCCCTCCAAGCTGAGCCACTTTTGTGACCCTTAAGCCTGGAGCCCCCCTGGTCCTCTTTCCTAGGGCTCCCCTGACAGTGGCTCTGCGGAGCTCCGCCCTTCTCCCTGAGAACTCCTTGTCGGGAATCTGCCCTGTTCCCATCTCAGTCACCTGTGACCTGGGGGACACTTTCCCGCCCCACCCCGGTGTGTGTCTTAGTCTCCATACAGCATCAGAGCATTGGCATTGGCAGTGCCCAGGACGCCCATAGAACTGTAGAAGTGAATGCCGGTTTGAGGTTGGGGAAGGTGCTTTTCCTTCCTGTCTGATTCCACCTTGATTCCCTCCCCCCCCACCCCCCCACGCTCCCTGCTGCACAACCCTGACTGCCCGGGAGCTTGTGAGGAAGGGAAGGAGCCTCGCCACTCCCTCAGCCAGGCAGTGAGCTTTGCGGCTCACACGGTGCCCACGAGGCGCTCTTCCACCTGAGCCAGGCCCCGGCCCTTTGGCTTGTGATTCCCCCTTAGGGCTCACCTCAGCCCACTCCCCCCACACCTACCCCTGCCATACAGCTGGGATTACAGGTGTGTACCACCACACCCGGTTTAGACTGTCCAGGCATCTCCTCCATCCCAGCAAACCAGGACCTTGGTCCCCAATTCACAATACCCAGTAGCAGGCAGCCCAGAGCTGCCGGCCACCATTCTCCCTGCTCGTTGGACCCCAAACCCTGGCTAGATGAACCTTGAAAGTATCTCACTGGCTGGACACAGCAGTTCACACCTGTAATCCTAGCTACTCAGGGCTGAGATCTGAGGCTCATGATTCAAAGCCAGCCTAAGCAGAAAAGTCCCTGGAACGCTTATCTCCAATTAACCAGGAAAAAGCCAGAAGTGGAGCTGTACAGAGCTCAAGTGGTAGAGTTCCAGCTTTGAGGGGAAACGTTCAGGGACAGCACGCAGGTCCTGAGTTCAAGCCCCAGGACCAGCACACGCACGGTTTTCTCCTTGCGGTGGCTGTAATGCAAACCAGATTGGGAGGTGCTGCTGTGTAGCAGGGTTTGGGGTTCAGTGAAGGGTCACATGGCATTTGTCATCTGGGCTGTGCCCAGTGGGTCACCAGAGCTCGGGATGGACAGAATGCCGGATTTTCCTTGTCCCTGGCCAGGGTGACATTGGCTGTGTCACTTCGGGGCTTGGGTGCAGCATGGAAATGAGAGGCCTCGACTCACGAGGTGTGAGGAATTTGGGGGCTCGGGCCCAGTGGCTGCCTGTGGTGCACACTGAAACCAGCCCAGGCCCCGTCCCCATATCTGCAAGGTAGGAATGGCCCTGCTTCTGGAAGAAATGACATGGGGTGAGGAACACCGTCCAGGCTCTGCAGTGACTCACCACCTCGGCCCTGGCCGGCTGGACAAACAGACTCACAAAGCCACCACTGTCCCTGCCGCTGCCCAGGCCGTGCCAGCGCCCAGTGTAACCCAAGCCGCCCTGGCCAGCCCTTCCTGCCCCTCCCCAGACATCGCGCCTGGCAGGCTTTGTGCCAAGAGGACACAACTCAGAGGCCCCTTCTAGACTTTTCTTCCACTCGCAGGAGTCACCGGCCTCCTAACCCCCCCTCAGCTCGCCCACTCCCATGTCTGAACACCCCGCCCCTCCCCGCCATGCTGTCATCCAGATTGGGGCTGTGTGTGCATCTTGGCGTTGCCCTGACCGTGGTGATAATTTGTGGGTGTCTGCGCATTCCCGAGGCAGGAGAACATGGCGGCTTTGGGCCGATGGGAGGGGGGGTGTCTGTGGAATTCCTGGGCATGAGATTTCATGGTGGTCTGTTCTTGGGGAACCCAGTCGTGGCCGGCTTAGTCACCTTCTCCCATCTCGTTCATCAGGTAGAAAAGACTAGAGACACGGCTTTCTTACCCAGCTCCTTGTGTTTCTGCTTTAGGTAAAATGTCGGTTCCTGGACCTTACCAGGCGGCGGCAGCAGGGCCATCCATGCCCACCGCACCCCCGTCCTATGAAAAGATGGCCCCAGCACCCATGCCGGGGCCTGCCACGGGGCTGATGGCAGGCCCAGACAGGAAAGGTGTGACCCCACCTTTGTATTATACCCAGCCCGGGCCTGCGCCCAACCCCAACGCAAGTATGTGGGACCCTCTCCCCCTTAGCCCTTAGTTCCCTTACCCTCTGCCCCTGGCTTGTGGACTCTGGCAGTCAAGTGACATGCTTAGGCAAAACTGGCATGGTAGCACACACCTGTAATCCCAGGCCTGATCAGACTAAAGTGTGATATTCTGGCTGAAAAGTAACTAAAGCACCAAGTCTGAGGAGGTGGTTCAGGTGGTAGAGTGCCTGCCTGGCAGGCAGGAGGCCCTGGGGGAGTGGAATTGCTTCAGGCCTGCGTGGGGCAGGCCGCCCTCTTGTTCTGGCAGCTGCTTCTTGGTCCTTGCTCGCTGGTCCTTCCTGACACCCAGGTGTGCCCAGGTGTGCACTGACTCAGTGTCACAAGCACTTAGAAGGAGCTCTCCAGTTGTGTGAGATGCTAATCAGAGCATGTGGCCTACTTGTCTGACTTGTACCTCAGTTTCCTCACCTGTTAATAGGACACAGTGTTCAATGTGGTGATACATACCTGTAGTTCCAGCAACTTGAAAGGTAGAAGCAGGAAGATCATGGTTTAAGGCTAGCGGGGGCAAAGGTGTGAGTGAGACCTTATCTGAAAAACAAATGTGTGGCTCAACTGGTAGAGCACATACCTAGCAGGCCTGAGACTCCGAGTTCAAATCTCCAATATGGGGAGGGGTGGATCAATAGCCAGGTATGGGTGGCTCACGCCTATAATCCTAGCTACTGGGTAGGCTGAGATCTGATGATGGTGGTTCAAAGCCAGCCAGAGCAGAAAAGTCCCTGTGAGACTCTTATCTCCAATGAACCACGAGAAAACCGGAAGTGGTGCTGTGGCCCAATGTGGCAGAGGGCTAGCCTTGAGTGACCGAGCTCAGAGACAGTGCTCAGGGCCTGAGGTCAAGTCCAGACTGCACAGGAAATAGGATCAATGAACTGTACACTAGTGAATTACATTTATTCCAGGAGAGGGCCTTGTGCTTGCTAGACAGGTGATTTTACCACTTGAGCCACACCGCCAGCGCTTTTGATTTTAGTTTATTTTTGAGGTACAGCTTCATTCTCTTGCCCTCAGAGCCTCACACTAAGATCCTCTGCCTCCCAGATCGCTGGGGTTACAGGAGTGTGCCACCACACCTGGCTCCATTTTAAACATTTGAAGGTACAGCTCAGTGGCCATAAATGCATTCGCCCTGGAGCACGGCTGTTCCACCGTCCTGCTCCAGAACTGTCGTCTGGGAAGCTGCCATTCTGTCCTTCTTCCCTGAGCCCTGACATGCCACTGCCAATCTCTGCTTGCTTTCCTGGGGACTTCGCAGAGGCTGAATCATATCCTCCGATTCTTACCCTTTGGTGGCCAGCCCGTGCCACTTGGCACAGTCCCTGAGGCCCATCCAGGCCGTGGCGTGTGTCGGACCCTTTTTAAGATCATTTGCGCCTTTTCAAAGGACATAAAGCCCCCTCCTCTGGGGACAGACATGGGGTTCCACCCTGTGGCTACTCATCTCAGCTGACTGCTGGAGCCCCGCTCTCTCCCTGCTGGGGCCCTGCTCTCTCCTTGCACAGGGGTGGAGGGGAGTTGGGGGTGGGGGCCTCTTTCCCTGCCACCCCCCCTCCCCCCGTAGCTCTCCCTGCTCACCAGCGCCTGTGCTTCTGCTGCCAGTCACGATGCAGACGGTGTACGTGCAGCAGCCCGTCTCCTTCTTCGACCGCCCCATCCAGATGTGCTGCCCCTCCTGCAGCACGATGATCGTCACCAAGCTGTCCTACAGGGCGGGCGCCCTCACCTGGCTGTCCTGCGGGGGCCTCTTCCTGCTGGGGTGAGTCTGCCCCCCTCCAACCAGGGCCTGTGCACAGGCCAGGGCCCCTAATGTGCCTTTCTCCGATCAAACAATCTGTCTCTTTCTCTATCTTGGGTTGCGGGGCTGGAGTTCAGGGCCTCGGCAAGCTAGGCAGACACTGACCATGCTCATTGCTTCCCCAACCTTCATTTCGGGTCTCCCTCCCTCCATCCCTCCCTGCCTCCCTCCCTCCTTTCATCCCTTGCTTCCTTTCTTCCTTTCTTGTGTGTGTGCTGGTCCTGAGGCTTGAACTCGGGGTCTGGGTGCTTGTCCCTGAGTTTTTTCACTTAAGGCTAGCGCTGTAACCCTGGAGCCACAGCTCCACATCTGGCTTTCTTGGTGGTTTATTGGAGATGAGAGTTTCAAGGACTTATCTTCCTCAGGCTGACTTCAAACCCTGATCCTCAGATCTCAGCCTCCTGAATCACTAGGATGACAGGTGTGAGCCATCAGCACCTGGCTGATATATACTTTGGGATTTTGTGGGAGCAGTGTCCTCCGTCTCCACCCGCCAGATGCCCATAGCACCCCACAAGTTCCCCCAGGCCTGCTGTGTTCCCCTGGACAGAATCGCATAGCTCACGCACCAGGGTGTCTAGAAACTACTTTCCATGACTAGGACACAGAGCACTTAGAGCAGGTGGGCTTGGTGGGGGGGGGGCCCTCAGGGGCTTCTTTTTCTTTTAGAATTTCATGACCTAAGTTATGATGGTCTGAGAGAAGCTGTGGACATTCTGTGCATTGGCTGCTTCCACAGAACCTTCCAGAATGGCTTACTCTTTGCTGTGTGAGGCAGTGGAGGCGGACTGTAAATATTTATGTCTGCACAGGTGTTCTCTCAAGAGAGGCTTGTTCTGCTCTGGGAGAGAAATCAGAGGGACCACAAGTTTTCCCCAGGCAGATGGATGGAAGGAAGGAGGGAGGGAAGGATCTGGGCATGGTGGCTTACACCTATAAGCCTAGTGACTCAGAAGGCTGAGGTCTGAGGATTGTGGTTCAAAGACATCCCAGATAGGAAAGTCCCTGAGAATCTTGACGTGAAATAACTATCAGACAGCAGTGAGCAAAACTATGTGAAACCCTTTGTTCGAGCCCAGCACCAGCACACACACGCGCACACACGTACACATAGAAGTTCATCACTCACTGTGTGGCTGCGGGCAGGTGACTTCACCTCTCTGTGCAGCCCCGGGGGCTGCTGGGAATGGAGTCGGCAGTCTTTGCGGGCATGGGTACTCTCAGAAGCATTGCCACAAACACCCATGTGTTTTTCCTGGTGCATCCCAACGTGAGCGCCAAGGCTGCGGGGCCTCCCTGCCTACGGTGCTCAGCTGCTGGTGCCAGGAGAGGCGCTACTTAGGGAGGGTGGCCTGGTTGCTTAGAGACTGGCAGGATGCAGGTCTGCACACTCCAGACCCCGCCAAAGCCGGCTCACACCTGTTTTCACTTCTGCTGGGCTCACGCCACGCCCAGCTGCTGGCACGGTAAGAAGGCTGGCTTGTCACAACTAACATTGGTGTGGTGCTGGTGGCTCACGCCTGTAATCCTACCTACTCAGGAGGCTGAGATCTGGAGGATCAAGGTTTGAAGGCAGAGAAGTCTGTGGAGACGCTCATCTTCAGTAAACCAGCAAAAAGCAGTGCTGGAGGCATGGCTCCAGTGGTAGAACACCAACCTTGAGCAAGCAAGACAAGCCAGTGCAAAGGCCTGAGGTTGAACCCTAATACTAGCAGAGACACGGCCCACCTTCAAACCTAGGCTCTGCAGGCGCACAGGGTTGGGTGACGCACCCATGTCTTTGTTCCCACAGGTGCGTGGCGGGCTGCTGCTTCATCCCCTTCTGTGTGGACGCCCTGCGGGATGTGGACCACCACTGCCCCAACTGCAAAGCCCTGCTGGGCTCCTACAAGCGCTTGTAGGCCCAGGCCAGGCTCCTGTCCCCGCCCAGCGGGGAGGCCCTGTGTCTCCCCTCTGCAGGGGCTCCACCTCTTTGTCTTTTTTGGGGGGCAGTGGAGTTGCAAAACCAACAACCTCCAAACCCCAGAAATGGCTGCTGGAAGTCATACCTGGGACTTGCAGAGACCATGACCTTGAGCCCAGGTTCAAGTTCTTGTCCACCCTTGGAGATTCCCTGTTGAGGTGGCTACCTCATTTGCATATCCTCATCTGCATATCCTCATCTGCATACCCTCCAGGACCTGCTGTCTGCTGGCTTCTCCAGCCTCAGTGGGCCTTTCTGGTGTTGTCTTTGACACAGTGGCCATTGCCTTTTTTCTTAGGCTGTTCTGTCTGAGTATGGCCGCACCACCACAGAATCTGGCCTTACTGAGTTTTGGGGCTGGGCTCTCAGCTTGAGTAATTGCAGACTTTAGTGATATAACTCATTTGAATTTCTTATTTTTTAAAAAATGTGCTGAAAGGGATATTCTGCACCCAAGAGGCTATACATGCAATAGCAAAAGGAGAGAAAGAAAGCTTCATTTTGTCATAATTCTTGTTTTTGTTCGCCATGATCCGAAGGGATTTTGGACTCTGATCTCCACCATTCTGACCAAGATTTGGTTTTGGAAGCTTGCAACCACCTAACAGGCTCGGTCTCCCCATTTGCTGGTTCACACTTTCTCTTTTTCTTTTTTTTCTTTCCCTTTCTTTCTTTCTTTCTTTTTTTTGTGAGACTGGGTCTCACTATGTTTCTAGGCTGGGCCTAGAATCCTGAGTTGAAGCAATCTTCATGAATAGACAGCTAGCAGGACTACAGGCATCTGCTACTTACCTGTTTTATTTTTTTCTTTTCTTTTTCTTCTTTGACACAGAAAAAGAAGTGAGTAATTGCCTTTCCATGAGTTTGGGAGGTTCTTAAACTTTTTAGCTAAGCACTGATAGATAGCTCACTCACTCCTATAATCCTAGCTACTCAGGAAGCTGAGATAAGACTGTGGTTAAAGCCAGCCCAGGCAGGAGAGTCCAGCAGACTCTTCTCTCCAATTAGCCACCAAAAAAGCTGGAAGTACAGCTGTGGTTCAAGTGCTAGACCTCTAGCTCAAGGACAGTGAGTACCCCAGCCCTGAGTTCAATGCCCAGGACCAGTGCACACATGTACACATACACACACCCCTCTTCTGTGCACGGATCCCTTTGGTTTCTGGGTGGGACTGTGAGGTCCTCTCACTAAAGTCATCTGACATCTGTCCTGGTTGAGCCACAGTCCCAAAGATTTCTGGATTCCCCAGGGGCGCAGCTGTGGGGTGACAGCGGAGGACCTCTGTGTCCCTGATTTCCAGAACCCCAGTGGAGGCCGAGTGCGCTGCGGCCATCTGTGCGCTGGAGCTGGAGGCTCCACGGAAGCCTCAGACCTTGAACTCCAGCCGTGCCGTCGGCAGCTGTCGGTCTGCTACGGCCCTGGATGGAGAGATGAGCCCTGTGTTAGGAACATGCCCGTGGGATTTCTCTGTGTTAGGAACATGCCCGTGGGATCTCTGTGTTAGGAACATGCCCGTGGGATTTCTCTGTGTTAGGAACATGCCCGTGGGATCTCTGTGTTAGGAACACGCCCGTGGGATTTCTGAATTCTGGACTTTGGTGTGATCTGCTTTCCAAAAAATAAAGACCTTGGTTCGTTCAGTGACCTGTGTGTCGGCTCTTGGGTTGGGGAGAAAGTCGTCCTGTTGTGTTCACTGTGAACAACCTTTCATCGGAGCAGGTCTTTAGTTGTCCGGGCAGGCTGAGTGGCTTGCTGTGCTGAGGTCAGTTCAAGCCCCGGCCGTCACTGATGGTCACAGCCATGGCTCTCCCGTGGCTCGCTCAGCCCCCTCCCCCAACAAAGTGTGCTTTGTTCACTGACGGGGCGGGTGCCACCAGGTACGGGGAGAGCGCGAGGAGATGCCACCTGCCCCTGCCCTACATGGCTGCCCGGATTGGTTGGGAAGTCTGCTGGGGTGTGGCATGTGTCGTCCCTCGAGCTCTGCGCCATGCAGTCCTTGTGTGGCTGGTCTTGTCATGTGGCCAAGTTTGTGGGTGCACTGGGATGGTGCTCTGAAAATCAGCTCTAATTGTTATTCATGGTGTGCAGTGTCTTGCCCTCATTCCAAAGTGTGAAATAGCCGGGTGCCGGTGGCTCACGCCTGTCATCCCAGCTGCTCAGGAGGCTGAGAGCTGAGGATCAGGGTTCAGAGCCAGCCCCGGCAGGAAAGTCCGTGAGACTCTTCCCTCCAATTAACCACTAGAAAACTGGAAGTGGCACTGTGGCTCAAGCGGTAGAGCACCAGCCTTGAGCAAAGAGCCCAGGCCAGGAGTTCAAACCCCATGATGATTGACAAAAAACAAAACTGTGAAATATGGGTCATGGGGAGTTTAGTGTTGGGTGCCTGGAACACAAAGTATTCATTCAGTTCACGGTGTGTTGTGTGTGTGTCTGTGTCACTATGTTTTTGTGTGTCTCAGACACTGATTTTGTCTGTCTGTAGATTTGAACTCAGATCCTCACCCTTGCCAGGCAGGCACTCTTGATTGATTTGCAGCCGCAGCTGCGCATCTTCTCCGCGGTGCAGGCCTCCGTCCGGGCTGAGGAGCGAGGGTCGGGGTCTTGTGGGAGGAGCCGCGTGGGAACGCCTTGGTGCTCAGCGCTGCCATAGGGCCTGAGGTAAGAGCTTCTGGGTCTGGGTGGCAGCTCGCGTAGCGCACAAATGCCGACTGAAGGGCTCGCCGATGCCAGCCGCGGATGGCGATGGTCCAGGTCCATTTTGCCAGGTGCTGTGGCTCTGCCTGTCATTCTAGTTACTCAGGAGCCAGGTGTGAGGATCACAGTTGGAAGCCAGCCCTGGCCGGAAAGTCCTTGAGACTCTTACCACCATGTGCACAACCAGAAGCAGGAAGTGGAGCTGTGGCTCAAGTGGTAAAGTGCCAGCTTGAGGGGGGTGGTGGGAAAGCTAAGAAACAGCTCCCAGGCTGTGGGTTCCAGGCCCGGTACTGGCGCGGCACATGGAAAGGAAAACTTCCACTGTCTCTCCCTCTCCTGCTTTGTCCTCTGGATTTGTCTGTCTGGACGCTGCAGGTGAACAGGAGCAGCAGTGTGTGTGCGGGGGCGGGGATGGCGGGGTGGGGGGTGGGAAGGAGGAGTGCTCCCCAGGTCTGGGTCTGGGTTTTGCGTCACTGAGATGCACACTATCTGGGATGTCTCTAGAGCATGGCAGGAAGAACAAATGTTCTTCAAGTCTGTGCATGGACTGTTCACCCCCACCTGCCAGCAGGTGCTCCGAACGACCTCCACCCCCACCTCCACCCCCACAATCCCCCCACCTCCACCCCCACAATCCCCCCACCTCCACCCCCACAATCCCCCACCTCCACCCCCACAATCCCCCCACCTCTACTCCCACAATTCCCCCCACCTTTACCCCCACAATCCCCCCCACCTCTACTCCCACAATCCCCCCACCTCTACTCCCACAATCCCCCCACCTCTACTCCCACAATCCCCCCCACCTTCGCCCCACAATCTCCCCCACGTCCACCCCCACAATCCCCCTCACCTCTACACCCACAATCCCCCCACCTTCCCCCCACAATCCCCCCACCTCCACCCCCACAATCCCCCCACCTCCACCCCCACAATCCCCCCACCTTTCCCCCACAATCCCCCCACCTCCACCCCCACAATCCCCCCACCTCCACCCCCACAATCCCCCCACCTCTACTCCCACAATCCCCCCCACCTTCCCCCCACAATCCCCCCCACGTCCACCCCCACAATCCCCCCACCTCCACCCCCACAATCCCCCCACCTCTACTCCCACAATCCCCCCCACCTTCCCCCCACAATCCCCCCCACGTCTACCCCCACAATCCCCCCACCTTCCCCCCACAATCCCCCCACCTTCCCCCCACAATCCCCCCCACGTCCACCCCCACAATCCCCCCACCTTCCCCCCATAATCCCCCCACCTTCCCCCCTCAATCCCCCCCCACGTCCACCCCCACAATTCTAAGTCCACCCCCACAATCCCCCCACCTCCACCCCCACAATCCCCCCCACCTTTACCCCCACAATCCCCCCACCTTCCCCCCACAATCCCCCCACGTCTACCCCCATAATTCCCCCAAGTCCACCCCCACAATCCCCCCACCTCCACCCCCACAATCCCCCCACCTCCACTCCACCCCCACAATCCCCCCACCTTCCCCCCACAATCCCCCCCACTTCCACTCCCCTCACTGCCCCTCCCCGCCCCACTCCAGGCAAACACCAAAAACCAAAGCTGGTGATTGTCAAATGGCTACTCCTGGTATTGACCAGCCAAAGAAATGAGTGGCCATGTTTCTGTGTATGCCCCAAGCCTGTTTTCTCTCCGGGTTAAGTTGCAGGTGAAGGGGTGGGGTGGGGTGTGAGGGGGAGGGGCAGCTCGGGGTGCTGGGCTCAGGGGCTGGGTGCAGTGGGGGCTTCGGGGTGCACAGGTGAGGATGGTTGGGGAGGGAGGGGCGTCGCCAATAGAACCCAGGTGGGCATTGTCAGGCCGCACTTCCGGGTCTGCGCGCTGGCCCCTGGGCCTAGAGGTGCGGGCCCGGGCGCTGGCAGGGGCCGATGGGGGCTGTCCCCACTTTAGCCCTGGCTTGCGCACTCCCGGTGGGGTCTTAGCACCCAGTTTCTCACCCAGCCCGGCGCAGCTCCCACCGCAGCAGGAAGGTGAGTGTGGCCTGTGGCTGCGCCGTGTAGGGACAGGGAATGAAGGGCAAATTAGGTTTGTGGGTACCAGGTGGGTGACAACCCGTCACCCCACTTCCCCGCGGGCAGAGCAGGTGACTACCAGCCACGCAGGCTGTCCTGACTCTCTGGACACTTAAGAGACGAGGAAATGGTTCTGAGGGGCCCTCTGCCCCTCACCCCTTTTCCTGCTGTGTAATATTCCATGGCAGAGCTGAGCCCCAGCTCAGACACTCGGGCGGTTTCCAGTTTTGCGCCTCACAACACGGCTGTGGACAGGCGCTCTGCCTTCTGGGTGATATGGCAGCGTGGGGTGGCGGGGGCTCGTATGTGTTTGGCTTTTTTTTTTTGTGGGGGGGGGTGCTGAGGTTTAA